CAATTTTTTTGCTCTAAAATTAGAAACCTGATGTGAAAGTTTGTTTCTCAGTTTGTGGTTTCGCTCCGCTCCTGCCTCCTGCAGATTGGCACTCGGCTGCTCTGGCGGCAGCATGAATCTCCTCACTGCAAAGCTGAAATTCCAATTTTATTCCAACGCAACTGTCAAAACGCCCTGAAGCAAGCTAAAAACAAGGAAAAAAATCTTTGGTATGATTTCACTTTCCATGTGTTCTTTAATGAAAAATTTATCATTCTAAATATTGGTGTTTACTCCTAAATACTTTTTTTTTATCAAAAAGAAAAAGAAACTGAGATTCAGTTGCTATTATTTCACAGGGAAATATAACAGGCCTGATGTTTTCCTGACAATTCTGTTATTTTCTTGTGTGGAAACACTGTATTTATCATATACTGTATGGCTGGTGATTCAGATATTGTAGAGACCTTATGGTGAACTGATATAGATGTAAACTCTTTATGCCAGATTGTTTAAGCAGAAAAAAAACCAAATGCACTTAATTAACATCTGATGTGTAGCTTTTGCAAACACAAATGCAATATTTGTGTTTGAGCACTGGCAGTAATGACTGTGAACTATGCTATTAATGTCTGGTTTAAAGATGCTTGTGGTAGGACCACGTCTGGAATAACACAAATAAAAAACTGCATTCAGACAAAACAATAGTGAAGAGCCCATTAGAAAAATGAAAAAGCAGTGCTCAGAAGAAACACATGTATTTTTTTTCCTCCTTTAGATCAAAATTATTTTCAAAAATAGTTCCAGGCACCATCATCTTCAATCAATTAAAGGTGAAAAATTCTATATATTTTCCTCTACAGAAAGATTTTCATTTTAAGGGGTCAGAAGTTGCTTACAGATGTCTTTAGAAGTTCTATTTATTATATTAAGCTACTCTTTGGTGGGTAGTATCAAAACATGTGTGAGGGAAGAGTTGAGATGGTGTTTCAGGATATTTTACATTTTTATATTTGAAGAGTGAACTTCAAATTTGTGGATTGCATTAAAGTTTGAATAAAGAGAGAAACTCTTATGGACCGATATGTAACTCCCTCACTAAATATGTTTTTACTGAAATCCTGCTGGGTGCCAGGAACCATGCAGGTTGCTGGGTATAAAAACACAAAGAAAGTTAAAATAAGATAAAACCTAGCCTAAATGTGGTCTTTGTTTCAGAGTAACTAACACAGTAACAAACAGACTCAGAACTTAGGTTCAAAAACATAAACAGTTATCACACCAAAAGCAATTAGTCAATGTTATATATCGGTACTTTACATTTTTGAGAACTTGTACTAAAGGGAAACCGCAGTCGAAACAGGACATTTGATGACTAAAGCCATAAAACTCAAACATAATTGCTAAGTCTGATGCTCCCATGGCAAGAAGAATGCAGGACTCTTATGCATGTGGCTGGATCCACAGAAAATAAAGCTAAGAGAGAATTGTATGGCACTGGACTGGGAGTGGCTCCCCGTGAGTCTGAATTCACCGTCAAGTCTTGAGGATGCTGCTTCTGCTCAGCTGTCTTCCTGCAAAATAGCTAAGGTGCTTTCCCACTGTGTGAGGAATTAGAAGCCTCAATTTCTCATTTTGGAATCTCTCAGAGTAACAATCACCCAGAAGGGAAGTTACAGAGGTAGGTACACATTAGCATCATCAGGGAATGAAGCCAGCCCAGGTGAGGGGAGCCTCAGGTGACTTGCCTGCTCCCAGGTATTCCACAGCAGAACAGCCCCCTTCACCAGTTTAGGCAGAGACAAGACCCTAGTCCTTGGCATTTCAATCACAGGTTACATACTTAATTACACATTGAGACTCTGATCTTCCCTCATCCCAACTAGATTTACTTTTTTTTTAATATATATTTTTTTTAATTTTTTTTTTATTTACTTATGATAGTCACAGAGAGAGAGAGAGAGGCAGAGACACAGGCAGAGGGAGAAGCAGGCTCCATGCACCGGGAGCCCGATGCGGGATTCGATCCCGGGTCTCCAGGATCGCGCCCCGGGCCAAAGACAGGCGCCACACCGCTGCGCCACCCAGGGATCCCCCAACTAGATTTACAAGCAAACACAGAAAATTATGAAAACAGGTTCTTTAAAACAAGACTCATTCTAAAATTAGAAATTATTTCTCAAAGGCTAGGTAAAATTTTTGGTGCGGGGTAAATTGGGCCATTCAACATCAAGAAAAGTGCCTGATGCCACACTTCTTATTTGTAGAGAGCCAAGTAAGCAGGAGCAGCTCTCAGTAATCCATTTAAATAACCAGATGGAAGTTCCTGATTCCAATACATACCAGTTCCCTCCATCTACGATGCCTAAGGCACCACATGAAACTACAGCTCAGAGAACTGTCCTTATATTTTTAAACAATGATGCATATATGCAGGCCAGTCATACAACATATCATCCAGGAGTGTTTAAATGATCTCACAAATGTTTAGGGTTTTTAAATATATATGTATAAAGTATTTATTTATAGACCTAAAAGTATCAACTATTATTGCTTTGCCCTTATTTATGTTCCCTACAAGGCGGCCAACTACAAACTTTTAAAGGGAATTTGGCTTAAAAGATTTTGTGTGTTTGGCACTAACTAAGGCCGTTAATCATTTCTGACCTCACTTTTTTTTCCTCTTCTGTGTATAATATTCTCAGGGCCCTTCACAGCAGAAACCTGTTCCCTTACAGGTTATGTCTCCTATCAGGTACTATGCAGCACAGTTAGCTGTAAATATTCAGTTGAGAGCCCTGACCAGTTCTATTTAATTCTTTTAAGAAAAAAGATAAACACAACTACAATGTGTTGAGGCTTTTCTGTTTTGATGGGAAGAGTGAAAAAATATGCTGAGAAACACTGATGTAACTAAAAAGAAAAGTTAGAAAAATCATATAGTCACTAAATTTAAAAATCAGGAGGGAAATTGCCATTGTTGGGAACTAAATTCACTGAAGAGCTAGGTGAATATCATCTGTTCTAATGACAAAAGTGTTATACATTCTATTTCAAAAGATATCACTGTAAAAAAAAATAAAGCATTTACTTCCTCCGATAGAAGTGTTTTTTAAGGGAGAATTTATGCAAGTACAGTGATCTAAGATTTCGGATGATCATATCTCTTAAATTTGAATTACAATCTGGTTTGTGAAATGTTAGAAACTGTCTATGTTCCTTAATTCACTGTTCCTCCTTGAAACATTTTTATTTTTCTGCTATTAGCATCTGCTTGGAGACTCCTAAATGAGGGGGTCTCTTGATGAACAATGGACTGCCTAACCTTAGCAATTCATAATTTTACAAGTTTTTTGCACAAACTAAGATTTCTACCACTTGTCAGGAGACAGTAGCAAAAAAGGACATGGGTAAAAAAGCTGTGCTGTTTTCCCTTCTTATCTTGAATCCCCCACCTAACCCAAACTGAATGAACACACTGAGACCCAGGTTATATAAGAGTGACCACTGCAAAACCTTAATAATTACCTTTTATGGAGATGATAGAAAATAATCATAAGATTGATTTAGAGAAATTTTTAAAGTAATTTGGAAGTATTAAGAATTTAAAAATGTTTTTCTTATAAATAGACGAGATAAATAAAATACATGCACATATGTCTTACAATACTGAAATCATACTGTTTATAGTACTTTATATCTTTTGGCCTTGACACTGGCTATCCCCTCTGCCTGAGACTCTTCACATCTCCACATGGCTAACAGTCTCATCCCTTCATGTCTTTACTCGAATGCTGCCTTTACAATGAGGCCTAATTTGGATTATTCCATTTATTTTTATTTTTTTGAAGATTTATTTATTTCTTCGAGATACAGCACAGCATGCAAGCAGGGAGAGGGGGAGTGGGGAGACAAAGAGAGAATCTCCAGCAGACTGTACGCTGAGGGAGCCCAATGCAGAGCTCAGTCTCATGACCTTGAGATCATGACCTGCACCAAAATCAAGAGTGGGATGCTTAACCCACTGAGCCATCCAGGCACCCCTGGATTATCCCATTCAAAATCACAACTCACCTACAACCTAGAACTCATGATGAAGCCCCTTGTCCTGTTCAATCTTTTTTTTCTTTTGGCTATACCACCTATCATTTTTCTATCACACTATGTAGTTCATTATTAATCAACCTTGTTATTTATTGTTTGTCTCTTCAATCCCTCCCCACTGAAATATACATTCTTTGAGGGCATATAAATTCTATTTTGCACACTGATGATGATGCCTGGCACACACTAGGTACTTAATAAATATCTGTCACATTAATCCATTAATTATAATTCTCTATATATTGTATTATATTTTCCATATCATTAAAAATTCTTCTGAAACTTCACACTTAATTGCTTGTATAACAATCTTTCACTTGAGTATGCAATAGTCTATTTAACCATTCCCAAACCCTGAACATTTGTAATGTTTCCAGTATTTGCTATCATAAATAATGCTTTGATAAACATACTTGTAGATAAGTACATCTACCTTTTATTATTTCCCAGGGATTTATCACTAGAACTGGAATTCCTGCAAGGCAGTTATATGCATTTTTAGAACTGTTGATACATATCACTGACTCACTTCCAGGAGGCTTTTTTTATATTACCATTAGCAGCATGAGTGCCTCTAACTACATCTTTCCTAGCACTAAGCATTACCTTTAAAATACCATCTTTAAATATTTTTTGTGCCAATTTTGGCATCTTAAAGTTTTAACTTAGGATTTGCAGATGTTGATGAAATTATTCATGTAAATCACAGATCTCTGTGTGGAGTAAAATGAAGAAGAAATTAGAAATCCCAAAGGGTTGACCGTTTCAAATCAAACAATGTAAAATAGGCAATGATGGAGTAGAGACACAGACTACCTTAACCGTGAGCAATTCTTTCATGAGACTGGGAAGCAACATCCACTTTGGTTTAAATAATTACAAACCAAATTTGTTCCTAAGAGACGTAATACGAACATTTAACTCAGATTAACTTTTACTATCAGGTTAAAGTTCTTCCCAAATACTGACCCATTCATCTTCACTGCACTACAAAAACAAGAATTAAGTTTTTCAAGAGTCTGCTTAACCTACTGCTAAAGCCAGTTCTTCTGTGCCCCAACACTGATAACCCCCATTTCTACTTCCTGTCCACCTGACCAATCCCAGTCACCTGGCACCGCAATGACTTAGTCTGCAGTTAGGTTCCTTCAGTCTTTAATGAGCTCAAATTAGAAACCAGGAAACAGATTTCTGAAAGTTAGTTACAAAACTTACACTTCTACATTTGTGAGACAAATTGTGGGAAAATATGTGAGGTTAAAATTGGCAGAGAGCAATTAGTTTCTTCCTTAACTTCCATAACTAAATACTGAAAAACATTTATAATCACTCTTTAATAAATCTCTCTACAGTGTATTTAAAAAATGGCCCTTTAGTATCGTATCTAGTACTTCACAGATATAATTTCAACCGTACAGTCTTATGAGGGAGTATAGTTCTTATGCCCATTTTATAGATATGGGAACTGAGGCTTAACGAGATTAATGCCCAGTTCACAGCCAGGCCAAGATTTGAGCATATCCTCACAGCCTCTGCTTTTTTCATTGTTCTACCCTAATTGATTATAGGTATCATTTGAGAGCAGAATTCTGCACAAGGCCTATATGCAACCACAGCAGAGCTGTGCCACAAGGAAATGTGCCTGCCCACCTCTTGGTCCTGGGGATCTAGTATTTTAACAACTGCTAGGAAGGTATTAACTACCAAAATGTTACTAATTTGTGACCCTCACAGAAGATATTTGAGAACGAAAGGATTAAAACTCAAATAAATGGCAGTAGGATGGAAAAGTGCAGGGAACGAGGGCTGGGTTTTGAAGCGGGGCACTGCCTTTCCCTAAGGCAAATCCTAAGCACAGGGGAGTCCTGGAGTAGCAGAGAGAGGCAAAAGTTGATGAGATCCAAGGGAAGAGAGAATATCATTTCTGGTGTTTGCTCTCTACATCATAAGAGCCTGTTCTCAAGCTGTAAGCATCCACTTGACTACATTGGATGTTTAAGTACTCAAAAACTTTCCTACCAGCTCAAATAGCCTCTACTCAAGCCCCTACCCCTCAAATGCCCCCATCACACCCCCGGATACAACCTCACACTTGTAGACACAGCAGCAGGCCTCCAGGCACCTTCCCCAGTGTCAGGAGTTGCAACCACTGTCATCAGTGACCATGCTGCAGGGCTCATTAAAGATCCTGATTATATCACTCCTGGGGGCCTCTCTTCAAATATACTACCAGGGCTTCCAGACTATCTCCAGTCAGCTTATAAAAGCATGGGTGAGAGTAAAAGCCAAGAGAAGAACCTCACCTGATTCAAGGAGTCCCCAACTGTAAACCCTTCTGCTTATGTGGGAGAGACCAAACAAAGGGGACCTCAGGATTCTAGTAAGTTTAAAAACAAAAGCAGAACAGAAACATACTGAGAACCTGTGAAACCACATCTTCAGGCAGGTGCAGATCCCAGGTCAGATTCAAGAGCACTGAAATCCCTCCTTATAAACCAGTCCAGTTGCTTCCTTCTCTGAACAAGAATGTACTTCTCAGGCAGGTCAGCCTCACCAAGAAGAAACACATCACAGCCAGGAACATGCAGGACCAAATTCTCAGCAAGACCTACAGGCAGTGGGATATTTTAACAAAATTAAACTGAAATCAAAAACAATAAAAAGTGGAGCATATAATTTTCTATTGTGGTAAAATATATTTAACATCAAAATCTACCATTTTAACCAATCTTAAGAGTACCTTAAATATTTGCCCATCACTGTGTAATCATCACCACTAAACCAAATAACTTATACAATGTTTAAAAATCAAAGTTTGGGTATAATTAATTTTCCCTTGAAGTTAGTTGCATGGTAAAAGCTTGTCTTTGTACGAAGAGGATAAAATCTCCAACCCATCACAAATCTATTTCATGTGGAAAATTCATGACAAGAATTAATAAAATCAGTGCCTTCAATTTTTAAACAATTTTATAGCAGCACCAAATTGTGCATTTTGTTAAGAAAAAGAAATAGTTAAAAGGACCAGACCTGCACTGGAACCTGTAGCTACATGTACTATTAAATTTTAATTAAATTAATTGGAAAGGAAAAAAATGAAGTTGTCACTATTTGTAGATGACATGATATTATATATAGAAAATCCTAAACATTCCATCAGAAAACTGTTAGAACTAATAAAATCAGTAAAATTGTGGGATACAAAATCAATACACAAAAAGCTGTTGCATTTCTACATACTAATAATGAACCATCAAAAAGAAAAATAAAGAAAAGAATCCTGTTTAAAACTACAACAAAAAGAATAAAATACCTAAGAATAAATTTAACCAAGGAGGTAAAAATGTATATTGAATATGAGAGTTTAATGAAAGAAATTGAAGACAATATCCAAAAATAGAAAGATATTCCACGCTCATTGATTGGTAGACTCAACATTGCTAAGATGTCTATACTCCCCAAAGCAATCCTCAGATTCAATGCAATCCCTATCAAAATTCCAACCAAATTTTTCACAGAAATAAAATACACAATCCTAAAATTTGTATAAAGCCACAAAAACCCTGACAGAAATCTTGAGAAAGAAGAACAAAATTAAAGCCATCATGCTCCCTGCTTTCTAACTCTATTACAAAGCTATGGTATTTAAAACAGTACAGTATTGGCATAAAAACAGATACATGTATCAAGGGAACAGAACAGAGAGCCCAGAAGTAAACCCACACATACATGGTCATCAATTTAGGACAAAGCAACCAAGAACAGCCGTACAATGGAGAAAGAACAGTCTCTTTAACAAACAGAGCTGGGACAACTGGACAGTCACATGCAAAAGAATGAAACTAGAGCACTATTTTGCACCATACGCAAAAAGCAACTCAAAATGGATTAAAGACTTGAACGTGGGGCACTTGGGTGGTTCAGCCGATTGACTGCTTGACTCTTGGTTTCGGCTCAGGTCATGATCTCATGTGTCATGGGATTGAGCCCCGAGATAGGCTCTGCACTCAGTGGGGAGTCTGCTTGAATATTCTCCCCTTCTGCCCCCGAACCCACTGGCATGTACTCTCTCTCCCTCTCTCTAATATAAATAAATAAATCTTAAAAAAAAAAAGACTTGAATGTTAGACTTGAATCCATAGAACTTCTAAAAGAAAACATAGGTAAGTTCCTTGAGGTAGGTCTTAGCAATGATTTTTTAAATCTGACACCAAAAGCAAAAGCAATGAAAGCGAAAATAAAGTGGGACTACATCATACTAAAAAGCTCTGCACAGTAAAGGAACCCATCAACTGAATGAAAAGGTAATGTACTGAATGGGAGAAAATATTTGCAAATCATGAATCTGATAAGGAGCTAATATCCAAAATAAATAAACAATGCATGCAACTCATAGCAAATAACAATCTAATTTAAAAATGGGCAGATCTGAATAAACTGAATAGACATTTTTCCAAAGAAGACTTGCAGATAGCCAAAAGGCACATTTAAAGATGCACAACATCATTAATCATCAGGGAAATGCAAATCAAAACCACAATGAGATGTGACTTCATCCCTATCAGAATGGCTATCATCAAAAAGACAAGAAACAACAAGTATGATGAGGATGTGGAGAAAAGGGAACCCTTGTGCACTGTTGGTGGGAATATAATTTAGTGCAGTGCTCACTTTGGAATCACATATACTAAAATTGGAATATAATTTAGTGAAACCACTATGGAAAACAGCATGGAGGTTCATCAAAAAATTAAAAATAGAACTACCATATGATACAGCAATTCCACTTCTGGGTATTTATTCGAAAAAAATGAAAACACTTGAAAAGATATCTGCACCCCCTTGTTCATTGCAACATTATTTATAATAGCCAAGACATGGAAGCAATCTATGTGTCCATCGATGGATGAATGGATAAAGAAATTATGTCTGATACACACATGTAACATTTTTCAGCCATAAAAAAGAAGGAAATCTTGCCATTTGCAACAATGTGGATGGGTCTTGAGGGTATTTTGCTAAGGGAAATACATCAGACAGAGAAAAACAACAAATACCATATGATCTCTCTTATTTATAGACTCTAAAAAAAAATAAAAACAAAAACACCAAACAAACAAAAAACAAGCTCACAGATACAGAGAATAAACACATTGTTGGTTGTCAGAGATAGAGTGTGGGGGAGTGGGAGAAATGGGAATCAAAAAGTAAAAATTAAAAATAAAATCTAAATATATAAATGAAATATAATTAGAAATTAAGTTAAATGTGGCACTAGCCACATTTCAAGTACTTAGTAATCTCACATGGCTAGTAGTCTCCCTATTGGACAGTGCAGACATAGACACAGAAAGTTCTATTGGATAAACACTAATCCAGATATTCTGTAAGGAAGTCTAATATTTAAACATTATTGGTGACTACTTTGTTTTTTTGTTTTTTTAGGGATTTTATTTCTTTATTTGAAAGAGAGAGAGTGAGCCAGAGAGAGAGCACAAGTGAGATGAGGAACAGAGGGAGAAGCAGACGCACTGCTGAGCAAGGGAGCCTAATGCAGTTCCATCCCTCCATCCAGAGACTCTCTCCCGAATCATGACCTGAGCCAAAGGCAGTCACTTAACTGACTGAGCTACCCAGGCACCCCTGGTGGCTACTTTGGATGACAACTTGTTTTCATCCTCTTCCTCCATTCCTTACATCTGGATTTTCTGTCTCTAACCTTATCTTCCAAGGCAGACGACAGAATTGCTTTCCAATTTTTTTCTGGGGAATTGCCTCAGAGGACTTCTGTTTGCTGCTTATGGCATCTTTTTATGGGACTAATTACAGTCCCCAGTAAGCAAGGAAAGAGATAACACATACTGTCTGCGATGTATAAAATTTAGGTATTTAGAGAATGGTGGTATTGCCTTGGGATGGCAGGAGTGTGAGCCTTTGTTATTATGGAACACCAGAGGCTAAGATTGGGCCTCTAGCCACAATAAGCATAGGAAATCTATCCAACTGCAATTTTAGGATTTGTTATTTGGTTTTTGTTTCTAAGGTAGGCTGCAATGTTGATGGGAGGGGTAAAGTGTGGAGGATATTAAAAGACATTTTGTACCCCTGGGTTGTATGAAATCTTGGGTAATGTTCTTCCTTTGAGTCGGGTTGGGACCCTAGCATTGGAAGCCCATGAGGCTGTACACACCACAAAGAAAATCTCCCAAATTTACTAAGTGATCTCTGCTTCTTTACAATACATTAAGATACTAAAGGACCACAGGTGGTAGGTAGGGCCAGATGCCCAAGACATGTACAGCCAATGGAGGTTTAGGAATTGTAAAATAATGTGTAGGCGGTTAACTAAATTCTCCCCTCAAATCTGGAGTGGAAGGGGGTGGGCATGGCAAGAACATTTAGGAGAACTAGGATTTTAAGGCATCATAACACCTGACAATTCTCCAAATTGTTCTGATCATCTGTACCTGCTCCATCATAACTCAGAGTGACTCCTACTTTGGAGGAGCATAAAGCACGAACTGTGATGTCTAAAGTCTCTCCTACTAAATAGTGTGACATATGTTCTGGCTTTGCCCAGCTCTCTACCTATCCAGGCCAGCGCCTCCATTTCGAACTAGAGTTCTGGAGCATTGCATAAGTTTATAAAGCTCTGAACGTCTGCAAAGAAGAATTCTTGGAGCCTGATTCCTAAAGGACAAAGCAGTGGGAGATATTAGCTGTAGCCACTCCCAAAAGTTAGTTAGCAATGGGGGTTTAAGGGCAGGGTTGCATTTGGTTTAGTGCAAACTGCATAGGATTTTTGAAGCCTGAAGATACCAGTTTGAATACCATTTCTGCTTCTTCATAGTTATTTGGGATCTTGAATAATTTATTTGACATCTCTGAGCCTCAACTTCTCTGTCTGTAAAATTTTAAAACAATTTTTTAAAGCTTCTTCTGAAGCACCAACTCTTTATCTAGAGATATGGCAATTAAAAGGAATAGGAAAGGGGATCCCTGGGTGGCTCAGTGGTTTAGTGCCTGCCTTTGGCCCAGGGCGTGATCCTGGAGACTCGGGATTGAGTCCCACATCAGGCTCCTTGCATTGAGTCTGCTTATCCCTCTGCCTCTCTGTATCTCTCATGAATAAATAAATAAAATCTTTAAAAAAAAAAAAGGAATAGGAAAAAGTATTTATCCTACCTTTCCTGTATAAACTATTTTAGGGTAGCTAGATAGCCTGAACTGAGGATTTTTTAACAAAAAAAATCCAACTACTAAATGTACAAGTAATGAAATAATTAGAAAACCATCATTTTATAACCCCTAAGAAAATAATTGTTTCAGACAAAGATCATCAATAGATGAAGACCTCATGAAAAGCCAATTAGGAACAAAGGCATCACCAGAACTGAGGTAACCAGACATTATCAGTTCCGTTAGGGTACAGTATAAAGCTTTTGACTCACCTTTGAAGAATTTTTACCAAAAAAAATTAAACTCCAAACCAATCAGGCCTCTAAATCTACTTAAAGTTTATAAAAAGTATGAGAGATGAAGCTATAAATTAAGTGATACCACAAAGGAGTAAACAGACAAATTTAGGACACTGACCCAGTTTCTGTA